ATTAAAGAAATTAATTATATAAGGAATTGCTAATAATGCACTTCAGCTCCATCTCGGATTCAACTATTTAAATATAACTATGATTGAATCTCAATGCCAACTTTTATCTTATTGAAAAGGGCTGTCTTTAGGGTTTTCTCGGCAATTATTCGAATTTGTCTCGCTGTAAAAGCCATCCTTGGACTTTTCCAAACATTAAAAAAGAATTGGCCAAATTGGCGCAGGCGTTGTTGAGATATGCGCTTACAAACATATTTTGCGATACATTTTTATATTTTACTACGAAATCGCTGCAAATTGAATAACAAACGCGAACATAAAGAAGATAACAAAAAGAAAGAAATTTTACTGATTAACCAGTTAAAGGTTATGTTTTCTTATATTTTGTATAAATATAAAAATACTCTTCATAAGTTTATGAAGATGCCCTCTGGGCGAAACATGTTAAACTCAACAAAAAAACCTGTAAATCCAAAAAATCACGTTGTAATTTTAATCAATAAATATTTTTATATTTATAAAAAATAACATGGATTACGTATTCACCAAAGAAAGTAATAAATTTCTTATATTTTGCATGAACAGATGGCGCTGTTTATACTGGTTATCATATAACCTAACTCTAACCAGTTTAATTTAATTTTATATATGTAACAATTTGTAATTTTTGTATAGATCGTTTGCGGTGCAACGACAAACGCATGTTCCTCCGTGTTGACACATCTAAGCATTCGAATGTTTTCATTTTCCCTTCTTCAATCGTCGTAGGCGCACCGTGACCACCACACGTCTCGCCTCCGCCTAACTAAGTGTCTAATTTATTCCCTCACATCCCGAATCTAATGCGTTGATAAAATTAGATTAGATACCGCCATACCACGCAACACAGGAAAGACAAAACTAGAACCAAAAACACAATCTTCTTAAGTACTATTCGTTCGACATTCACTCTGGATCTAGAAGTAAATTAATTGTCCGTGCGACATTAAGATCTCATCGACTCACTATTCATTTGTTCAGCTGCTTGCGGCGTTGTAAACAAACAGATTAAGATAATGTAAAATTAAAACAAATCGAGAATCAATTTTAAAACGCGTTGTGATTGTAATTTTACATTAATCATGTTATTTTTATAAATATAAATATTTATTGATTAAAATTACTTTTTTGGATTTACAGTTTAACATGTCCAGTTTCAACAAAACCTTAAAATCCTATAAAATAAACATTCACTTTCAGTCCTTAAAATCCTATAAAATAAACGTTGATGACAGGCAATAAACACAGACTGTTGACGTATGCTTGTATTTGTATGCATTTATGTGCGTATGATTATTATTACTAGCTTTTATTGGTATTGGAACGATTTGAGTACGAAAGTACGTTGTAATCAGTTTCAGACAAAATAAAAAAATGCGACTATGTTTGTCGTGTGTGAATGAGTGCGGATGACGTTTAAGCAGTTTACGACTTGTGATTTATTAGCCATGAAGCGATAAACTCAAGACGACTAAAATTATATTCATAAATTTACGTGATTTTCAGCCATTTTTAGTTTTATTTATAAATCTACATAACCTATAACATAAATATTGAGTTTTATTAGCTTTCCAATAGATGGCGCGATGAAAATATTATGAAAAGACGATTTAAAAATATTTATTTATTAACAGTTATGTGAGATTTCTTCTGGATTTACATTTTATATGTTGAGTTGACATGAGGGCATCTTCACAAACTGCATAATAAACTATACAATGGATTACGCATTCAACAATGAAAGTAATAAAAGACGATTTCATTCCCATTCCGGAAATTGACTCAAATTGTAGTAGTATTTAATAAAAATGTAATTCGTTTTTACTCTCTTGTTTTAAACCTAAAAGGGCTGTCTTTAGGGTTTTCCCGGCGATTATTCGATTTTTTCTCGCCGTAAAAACCATCCTTGGACTTCAACGAACATTTAAAAAAAATAATTGACCAAATTGATCTAGGCGTTGTTGAATTATGCGCTTACCAACAGATTTTGCGATTTATTTTTTTATTATAGATCCACATAAGCTATAACATAATTATTTAGTTTTATCAGCTTTCCGATAGATGACGCGTTGAAAATATGAAGAAAAAACTATTTCATCCATTTTACGTAAATCTACTAAAATAATATTTGTAAATTTGCTTAAATTTCTTCCATTTTTGTATTATTTATAAATATACATAACCTATAACACAAATATTGAGTTTTACTAGCTTTGTGATAGATGGCGCGATGAAAATTTGAAGAAAAAAACCATTTCACGCATAATGGTTGTGATAATTAATAATCAGCTCGTCTGGCATCTTGACAAAGTGTCACGTGCATCGATTTAACTCAAACCACTTAAGACTTAAGTCATCTCTTCACTTTTTCTTCGCACGACCACCCTTCTCGTCATACCACCCTTGACTAAATTAAGAACTTTTTAAGTCCCATAAAAAAACTATCACAGTTTGATGCGTTTCAATTTACTTTTCCGATCTATTTTCGTCTGGTTTTGAACTTTTTGAACTACGCTGCAAACGACAAAGTTTTTGTCCTCTTTGCGCATGTGCTAGCAGCTTAGTCTGTATTTTTTTCCTTGTGTGCGTGCATGTGTTTCAAATTGGAAGCCGCTGAGCATCTTGGGCTTGCTCTTGTTCTTCGCGCTGCATTGCGTTGCTTTGCGCTTCATGCACCGGCGTGTCGAGACAAGAAAATTTCAGTTTCAGTGCAAAGCGCGCAACGAACGAAACAAACGTTTTTCAGGCGTTCGCCTCGTCAGTATTCATGGTTGCTTCATCGCGAACACATCGCAAGAGTTTTTTAAATTCAATTTTAAAAAATGTACGTAAAGTTTTTAATCAACGTTAATATTATCGCACTTTCCATTGGCATCATGCTGTGTTATGTCGTAGTGCTTTTAGTGTGAATCGCCTTTTAAAAGTCGCGTTTAATTAATAATTTCGCTGCGCGACAGTCGCGCTGCGGCAGTCTTAATTAAAAGTCGTTAGTGTAATTACTATCAAGTGTTGCAAGCGCAACAAACGCTCGAGTTGAAGTGCAAAAGATCGCAGTGTTTAGTATTTCATGATATCTACAAGTGTTGCAAGTGTTCAAAGTGCAGCATCATTTTGAAGAGGCGCTGAAAGTGTGAAAAGTTCAACGTGAAGAGCGAAATGAAGTTGTGGAAGGTCTTGGCTCGCACGAGCCATGTTTATTCGAGTCATGTGAATAAAAACAGCCAATTGGAAATGTACGGTGAGTGAAAATATCACAAAATAATACCGGACGGGAAATGATGAAAAGTGATGAAATAAATGCATCGTTTGCATTTAATAGAAAACATTAAAGTTGAAATTGAAGAACTTTATACAGACGTTTGTAACTTCACGCTTAATTTCCGTTTCCGTCATCTTCTTTATCTCCGCTCGCGTTCGTAGTTGTAATTTTCGGCGATTTCAAAGGAAAATATGACGCACAATATTAAAAAAGTTATTTTTTAATGAAATTTTACTTTTCGTCTAAGTTGTAGAAAAATAATCAGGTAAATAGTGTTACACACTTTATTTATTTATTTTTTAAGATTCTGTTTTTACATTTTCATCAAAGTGTTTTAAAATGGTGTAAAAATCGATTGTGTTCGTGATATTAAAGACTTGAAAGCTAATGATTGTTTTTCTTGCTTTATGAGCTTTTATTCTTAGCACATTAGCACGTTATGTGTGCTTTCATCCGGTTTTACATCGATTTAACGATGTTTAATGCAAAATTGACGCCGTTAAAAGCCGTAAAATGGCGTTTCACTTTCGTTATATTTATTTTATCACCACCGGTAGCTTTTTAGTGAGGTTGTGAGTGTTTTCGGGTGGTAAACCACAGGCGAACACATTTCCAATCGTTTACAATACTTTCGCATGTTAACCGATATCCTTGGTTTCGCGTGGCTTTTAACTTGCTTTTAATTTTTTTTTTATTATTACTTTGCATTTCACAATTTTCACAATGTTTACATTAAATGCAACCGGGAAACTAAGTGGAAACCTGAAACTTGATTGCGAAAAAAGGTAAAGAGAGCAAATATTTAAATTTTAATAGAAAAAATGTATCTATAATAATAAAAATAAATCGCAAAATCTGTTGGTAGCGCATAACTCAACAACGCCTAGACCAATTTGCCAATTCTTTTTTTTAAATGTTTGTTAAAGTCCAAGGAAGGTTTTTACGGCGAACAAAATTCGAATAATTGCCAGGAAAACCCTAAAGGGACAGCCCTTTTCTATAGGATAAAAATTAGCATTGAGATTCAATCATTGTAATAGTTAAATACGAGTTGTTGAATCCGAACTGGCGCGTTGAAGTGCATTATTAGCAATTCCTAATATAATTAATTTCTTTAAAATAAAATTGCGAATCTTATTGCTTGAATTGACACATACTACGAGTATGTCTAGAACAAGAGAGTAAAAACGAATTACATTCTTATTAAACACTACCGGAACGAAGTCAGGGGCAAAAGCTACTCGTAGTTTTTGATATAAGTCAGATGTGTTTATCATCATATTCATCCCTTTACATACCTATAAAATTAAATAGAGTAATAAATTTTACTTGAAAAAATTGTTTTGACTTCTGGTAAAGTAATCAGTATAAATATAATTAAATTTTTTAGAAAATAAAAAAGATAAAAGGCAGAATGTATATTTACAAAAATATCACAACATAAATAATGAAAAAAGCTTTGTTTTAATTATGTATTTAATGTTTTACATTCTTTTTAGAGTTTAAATCTGGCTCTCCCACATTTTCCGATGACTCTGGACGTAATTCCACCTCGACATCGGATTCCACCCAACATCTAGCAACTGTTCAACTGAGAAAACGATCCGGCGAAAGTTTAGGCATCGTTTTAACACCAGCATCCTTTGGTAAGTCTCAACTTTAAAACAGATGGCGCTAGTTGTCACTTACACAAGACGTTTTCATATTTTTGTGACAATTTATGTTTGTGACATCGATCTGGCAAATTATTTCTAAAAAATGTATTTTGGTTGAATGGAGAAGGATTACTGCTGCTTCTAGCTTTCAACCCTTTCAAAATTCACGTGTATTTCCATGAATTATATAAATGTGTCCAAACAAAGGACCTACGCAGCCATGGGCGAAGATGTTAGCTCACAATCTCATCAAAAATCACACCATTCATCAAACAGCAAAAAATGTGCTTATGTAGCTCAACGCTTGCGCAGTAACCTCGCCAACATCCGAAGTAAAAACAGCGTTAGTAAATATCTAGAAGAAAATGTAAGAAATAATCCACCAAGTGAGTCATTTAGTAAAATACGCAGACAGATAAAAGCATATCGGACCGATATTCAAAAGAACGTAGACTACCTTCAAAAGAGGTTAGGTGTGTCCATTGGAAACACCAGTAGTGCCAATACAAAATGGTCAAACTTTTCAACAGCCGCGATGAAATTACAAGAAGTAAACGAATTATTAACACAGGGTATTGATAGAAACAGAAACAGTTATGATATTTTTGGTGTAGATGATTCATGCACGACTTCTGTAGAATTACACAGCACTAGATCATATCCGAATTGTTCAGTACAAGGAATTGGGTACAGAAAAAGCAAAAGTGAAATTGTTTTAACGTGCTATCCTTGCATGAACTACCCTACATCAGGTAACATCGGAAATAATGTATCAGAGAGTTTTCAACAATGTTGCACACCGGAAATCAATGCAGAAGTTTTATCTAATGATATTCGCATGATAAACTCAACTGAATTTTTGATTTGTGAGAATATTATGTTGCAAAGAACTATGCCAATCACACGGTGTGATCTTAAACGTATGATTGGTGAAGATCGTAAGTATAACCTGAAATATAAGTAAAATTGTTTGATTAAACAAAGTTTTATATTATATAGGAATGTGTAGATACTGTAGAGCGACGATGAATGATTTAGCTGAGTTACTTTGTACAAGATCATCACCTTGTAGTGAGTGTCAAGCAAAGAATAAGTTCAGTTGTAGTAAGTTAATGTTATCGAAACAAGCGCAGACTCAACAGAAAGACGAGTGTTGTTGTGATTCTTCTGGCGCATCTGCAATACCATATACACTGCGTGCTTTGGACAGTGAAGAAGAGTCCTGCCCGTTTATTTGTGGTAAATGTATGCAACCCAGAATGCACCCGCCATGTCCCTGTACGAATATAAAAAGTGAAGTTATTCAAACTGAGAAAGATAAACCAAAGTGGAATTTGGATAATTCCAATGATAAACCAAAGAAAAAGCCTCTGGCTAAGAAAAAAACAAGAAAATTAAAAAGAAACTTGTTCAAATTATTACCAAAAAGAAGAAGAAAGTCAAAAAGGTTGCTAAACCTAAGAAAGTCAAGAAAAAAGAAAACAAACAAACAAAGATACCAAAGAAAACAAAGAAAAAAAAAAGTACCCAAAAAGGAATTTCAGATGCCAAAAGTTAAACCCAGGGATAGTATACCTCTGTACGCTTTTAAACACCCTCTTTCACATCGTAGTCTAGATATGTGTTCATCAAATTGCAAGAATAATTGTACAAATTGCAGTCTTGATTTGAATCAAAATTCATCATCCTTCTCGCCGATAGCGAATACAAATCTACCTTGCATTAAATGTAACGCGGGGTTATTAAATAGGGCGCATATTATGCAATGTAAATTGAATAGCCTTGAAGCATCGCTGGTCCAAGCCAAGATGGCGGCCACAAGTTATGAAGTAAGGCACATGGTTAAAAAATCCGAACCAAATTCGTTTAACTTACACAAACAGCAACTAGACGAAGTGAATGAAAACGAAGAAAATTGACTGAAAATAAAAACATTGATAATAACAATGCTTGTATAATAACTATTTGAGTAAATTGTATGTTGTGCGTGCAATGCGCAGACTTAATTATTTTAGCACCGGGCTTAAGTGATTTACTCGCAGCACAGCCGCGCTTGATAATAATTATTAATCTCACGGCTAGTCTTCGCCGTTTAAATTTAGCCTGCAGTTTTCCAGACAGCGAGACGCGTTGGAATTAATCGTTTTCTAGTTTCTGGCAGATGAAAAACAAAACATAAATTTGGTTATGTACAAGGTACAAATATTTATTATTAGTGTTGTTGTCATGTCTAAATTGACAGCTGTCATATTTCACAACGAATTATAACCTTAAATTGTAGATTTCTACTAGAATGGTGGAAATTCTTGGTTTAGAGTTAATTCAAGATGAGTTATCGATGTATTTACTTGATTACGGCGACAATTTACGGTTGTCTAAAATTAAACGCGTTGGCGTGCCTATTGGGCTGGCCTGGATGTCAATTAGTGTGTTTTGAACGATAATTTTCAACGTCTCTGGTTGGTCTTGTTTCGCGCGTGTTGCAGCACGTAAACTATCAAAGGATTAGTAACGTAAAGAGTCTGGCTTCTCTCAAGAGCAGTTTTTCTAAACAAAATAAAGCAGACACTGAAATATTTTAAATATTTTCATCTCCTACTCATTTTTAGTTAAAATTTTGTAAAATTTTTAAAAATGGTGAAGATTAGTGTGGCTAGTGAAATTTTCAACACTAGTCACCAGATGGCAACACTTGTCTTTGCGATAGATGGCGCCATAGTAAAAAATTTATAACCCTAATAAAGTTTATGATGTCTGTATGGATACGTGAGCGTGTACTTAAGTCGGACGTGCGTGTGGAGTGTCGCGACGCCGCCGCGTCCGAAAATAAACCCACTCGGCGGCTGCGTCGCGGCGCTTCGATGCTGTTACTAGTCGAGTCCCGCCGATACTGTCGCGACGTGCGTGTGCGACTTGAAAGCAACCGCGAGTAAAGTTTCATACGCGCCGGAAAATATTATTACGCACTGAACAAAAAAAAAAACGACACAACGCATCAACAAAGAAGTGAGAAATAGCCGGGAACTAATATGGTACTTTGGGGTTTAGTGCGTGCAGTGTGCGGCAATGTGGGCGGAAGGTGTAACCTGACTTGAGTGACTTAAGTCAATGTGACAGTCTATAAATATCTTGTTGATTTTATCGCGGTTTGAATTTTACGCTAATTGGCGTGAAATTGTTTTATAAAGCGGAAAATTGTACTTATCACAACGTAAAATACCCTTTTAAATGTTTAAGTGAGGTTATGAAATGACTTAAGTATATTTATAGAGTTGTTTTGTTTGGTTTCTTTCGAAATTAAACAATCAACACGTCAACGAGTAATAAAATATCGTCCAAATTAAAATTTCGAAGTGATGAAACCGCGAAACTAATTTGAAAAGTTTGTAACCACAATAAATTCAGGTTTTTCTAGGTTTTAATTTAGTTACTACAGTTGTGAGTTCATAACGTCTAGCGGAAATAGACGCACTATTTCGAGTTGTTGAGTATTCTCTATTTGGTCGACGCACCGATTTTATATTTATTGATCTATAATGAAGCGGGTGATAGACTAAGACGCGCGTGTGAGTGCGCGTAAAAATAAACGTTTCGTGAAAAGATAAACTACGAGGAATACTGGTGGTTTAACTGTCTGTCGCCGGCGCAGACGACGGAAAGACGCGCTTCCGATGTGCTTGAAAATAGAAACATTCTTAAAGCGGCAACACAATGACGCGAGTGGATAACGAACGGTGTGGCAGCGGGGCGTGATCGGAAACGGCGCCATGTTTGGTTCGTTTAAGCTACCGCACCTGCGCAGGAAGGAAGAGGGCGGAGCACAGTATGACAACCGATTGCCAAAGACACCCACAGAGTCACCGAAAAACAAACGGCATCAATCAACTAAAAAACGTATTATATTACTATTAATATTAAATTTAAAAAAAAGCTAACCTTAAAAAATAAAAATAGGAATATTGTTTTGGCCACTATGCAATGAAGTGTGTAGTAATTTTTAAAATGTTTGCAAAACAATGCCAGCACTTTCGTTTTGTTCTACGTGTGCGTATGATGTTTAAATTTAAATTTAACTTTTAACGTCGTGCACTTTGCGTCTCGAATGTTTTAATGCGACTTTGATCTTCTGATTCTGTGTAGATGGCGATAACTCACTTTTAGCGGGCAGCTGCAATTAGCCTAGCAAAACGAATTTCGATCGAAGACGCCATTTTGATTCTATTTTATTTTTTGTTTATTTATAGGAAACTCGGAATCGGAAACGTGTCCGAGCATTGCTTCGCTTCGACCTGGTTCCGTGGCACTTGCCAGTGATCAGCTGGCTCCTGGTGATCGCATCCACAGTGTTAATGGAATAAGTACTTCGCGCATGCGCCCTGACGAAGTGACTAATCTATTAGAGCATGTTGATGGCAATGCTTTGCTTGAGATTGAGTATTGTCTACCCAGCTATGGTAAAATTCGATTTTATAAATGACAAAATGGCAGATAGTAAAATATAAACAATTACAGCATCACAGAGCTCGTTATGTGTCTCTTCAAAAGTCACAGAAGTTCAAGTGGAACGCATTGATGGTTCCTTGGGTATCACTCTCCGAGGGGGTTTTGTTCCTGATCATCCCCATTTGAGTAGACCTTTGGTCATAACCCAAGTACGACCTAATGGCCCTGCATATTCGTACGTTACCTAACCTCAAAATATCAAATGAACATAGCCTTAAATGTATTTATGTAGAACTGGTTTGATTCGAGTTGGGGACCGTCTTCTAAAAGTGGACAACTATAACCTAACCAATAAAACCCTAATGGAAGCCCAGAAGATCCTAAAAGAGAGTAGTATCCTCCCAGTATCTACTTTAACCATAGAATATGATGTCAGTATCATGGAGTCTGTAAAATACGCAACCGGGCCATTACTGGTTGAAATTGATAGAAACCCCAATGAAGATCTGGGTCTCCTGCTAAGTAACTGCTCCTGTGACTTTGCGAATAGTGATGAGATTACCGCTGCCGGTGTATACATCGAACACATCATTCCAGCTAGTACTGCAGATAGATGTGGAGCTTTGGGAGTCGGGGACCAACTACTTGCTATCGATGATGTTTGTTTAGATGAATGGCGAGGGGACCTGCAAGATGCTACTTGTTTACTAAAAACAGCTACCAAGATACAAATCATGCCATTACATGCACTCCAAAGAAGTTTTGCAAGAGGATATGGTCTAGGTTAGTAAAAACGTTGATTTTTGAGATTATCCAGAAATGTGGAAATGGATTCTTTGATTAATACACTTGCCACGCTCCAATTACTAAGGTATTACCAGAGGTAGAGTCTTGGCAGGCGTCATAGACTGCAGTTGTGGTAATTTTGCTTGAATGTTGGCGAAGGGCCAAAAACGATTTGGAACGCCTTGCAAAACTTTTTATTTTTTTCAAATTTTTTGATTTCCACGCACCATACTACCAACACCAACTAATTGCTATGAAAACACGAGTCAAAATGAAGAATGATGTTACATATGCTGTTACATTGTAGGTCCATACGGGAACAGTCCTACTGTAAGCGGAAGTGGTTTTAGTACTCTAAACTCCAAAAGGTCTCGTGCTCCACGTAACAATAGAAACAATCGACATAGTTCCATATCGAAAAGTGTTGATGATTCAGGTATTTAAGTTTGGTTATGTTTCTTAAAAAGTGAGGTCATGTTGTAAATTGTGTTTTTAGCAAGTACATATTGTGGGTATACCACGAGTCTGGGCGTGTGTCATTCAGAGACTTTAAGCGTGACGTTGATTGCGGAAAGAGGCAAGGGTTATGGGCTGAGCGTGGCAGTCACTGAACACGACGAGACACATCCGGCCGACATTGTCGTCTCACGCATTGCCAACGACAGTCCGGCATTTAGGTAAATATATATTTTAGGTTTTAAGCGACACATTGCGAAACACCTTCGCATAAATCATTTCTGAAGTAAAATAAACTCTGTGCAGGTGCGGATGCCTTCAGAACGGCGACCGTATCGTCTCCGTAAATCATCGCTCGAATCTCACACTGCAAGAGGTGAACGCCATCTTGGAAATGGGCTGCGAGCCAGCTTTAAGTTGCAACGCTAGCAGCATTAGTAGTGGTAGCAGTACAAGCCATACCACCCACTCTGGAACCGGTGGAAAAATCACTCTTCAGATTGAATTTGATGTTGCGGATACAATTGTACCATCAAGTGGTATCTTCACTGTAAAGTTAGCACGTCGTGGTGCTGGTCTTGGTATTACCATAACAGCAAGCAAATCACATCCGGAAGATCCGTTTACTGTTTCTGAGATTCGTAGAGGTTCAGTTGCTCATCGTACGGGTACCCTGCATGCTGGTGATCGTCTTCTTGCGATTGATAATCGTCCATTGGATCATCTCACTGTTGAAACGGCTTTTGACATTTTACAAAGCTCATCCAATGAAATAGTCACCCTGAAAGTAGAAAAAACTGAAAGAGCTAATGTTTTCCACGACAGTGTAGTTTACACTGTTGAATTATTAAGACATGGTGGTCCTTTGGGTATTACCATTGCTGGTAGTGAAGACTGCCTAGAAGCTATCGTACTTTCTAAGCTAACTGAAGGCGGTCTTGCGGAAAAAACCGGTGCGCTTCATGTAGGTGACCGTTTGATTGCCATCAATGGTGAACCATTGGAACAGAAACCTTTATCAGAAGCAATCAGACTCCTGCAGACTTCAGGTGATCGTGTACAACTAAAAATTGCACGTAATCTGAAACCAGCGTCACCAGAAGAAGCAAGATGTAACTATTCCAGTCCAGGATTGACCAGCATTGATAGCGCAGTTCATTCCTGGGATAGCAACCCACCGGAAAGCGCAGAATCCATTTTTGATCCACAGATGCCCAAAGATTTCGAGAGCGTCCTCAGTGAACCATTATCATATCAAGAACCTTCATTATCAGGATATCCAGAACGTCAAGAGATAACTCAATGTCAACCAATGAGAGAATCTGTAGGAAGTATAGGTTATGGTGACCTCGGACATTTGAACTTAAACCTGACGAGGAAACATGATTCCCAATTGCAGTTTTATTCTGATGCAGAAGATATATTTTGTCCCAGTCCACTACCACTGCCGAATTTCAACTTAGGGTTAAAATATGACCAATACAGCCAGTATGGACAATCTAGAAGTAATTTTATCGAGAGTTTTCCGAATGAGAACACCATGGACAACGAAATATACCATGTAACGCTTTATAAAGATTCAGTTTATGATGACTATGGGTTTAGTGTCAGCGATGGACTCTATGAGAAAGGCGTGTACATTAATAGAATTCGAAAAGGTGGTCCTGCCGATATCGTGGGAATGCTAAGGCCATACGATAGAATTATCCAAGTATGTTTTGATATAAAATGTTTTAAAAACAAATAAACGAATGTGATTTCTATTTCTAGGTTAATGACACCAAAACACAAGATTTTGATTGTTGCCTGACGGTGCCATTGATCGCCTCGGCGGGTGATCGAATCGACCTCGTGATTGCGAGAAACCCTTTTATGATTATGCACCCTGGTGTGGACGCCCTTAGTCGGAAATCGTTCTCGGCGAGCAACAACACCATCATCAAAACGCTCTAAAGCAACCGTCCAAAAATGCATCACTGCCCAATCATTATATTATACACGAATACATCAGTTTTTTTTTTTTTCCAAGCTGTACTCTATTTTATTATATTATTATTAATATCGCTAATGGAGACGTCTTGACGTATGCAATGAGTTTCAACAACACTTGTTTCGATGGCAGTGCATCGACGTGCGGTGCTCTCGCCACAACCTTTTTATTTCACTTGCGGGACCAGTGTCCAGGGCGTCAGGTCGCAGTACCTTAGACGAAATAACAAACAGTAGAAAGCCATGACACGTCAAGTATGACGTAGGAGAAATTTTTCGGCAAACGGAATTCGACAATAAATTCAAAATTCATAGCGAAACTCTTTCATATAAATTTAAAAACGAAATTTTGTTATTTTCTTTAAGGTATCTCTAAGCTCATGACGATAATGGCACTGTCCCTCCTGGGAGATACGCTCCTGGACAAAGCCCTGAAGGCATTCGACCTGACCAAAAAGAAGTAAGTGCACTAATCAAAACGCAAAATGCTTACGCGTAATTGCTGCTTGTTTCGTCGTGCAGGTCTCAAGACATACGAGAGACACTCCAATGCGTGTGTTGTGGGCCCTGCGGCTCTCCGTGCTTCCCGTGCTGCGGTGGGCCATGCGGAGGTTGTTTACCATGCGGCGCATGCGCGCCATGTAATGGATGTGGACCATGTCCGCCATGCGGACCTCCCAGTCCGTATCCTTGCAGTGGACCGAGTAGTCCCGCCGCACCCACCTGCCCGCAGTGCAGCCCATGCCCGCCATGCGGTCCTTGCTCGCCCTGCTCATCTGGTGGAGCATGTCTTCCGTGTGGAAGCTGCAATCCTCATAACTGTCCGCCAACCTGCGGGCCATGCTGTCCTACTGGACCCTGCTGTTCAGGTGGTGGCTGTTGTTCGCCATGTGGTCCATGCGGGGCATGCGCACCATGCGGGTCATGTGGCCCATGTGGGCCATGTGGACCATGCGGACCTTGTGGACCTTGCGGACCATGCGGGCCATGTGGACCTTGTAAATTCCCATGTTGCAGTCCATGCGGGCCTTGCGGATGCGGCCCGCGTTGTTGCATTGGCGGCTGCGGGACTTGCGGGCCCTGTGACTATAACCCGTGTGTAGCATCACCTTGCGGATCGTGTGGACCTTGCGGCCCTTGCAGCCCCTGTGGACCTTGCACTCCTTGTACTCCATGCTGCTCCCCAAAGCGGGGCTGCGGACCTTGTTGTTTCACCGGGTGCAAGAAGCCGTGCTGCTTTTGCTAAACGAGTGCAGTCGCCTGCGAGGAAAATAACCCCACCATCTTTCAACGTCAGACGAGGCATCGACACGCAAAAATTGCGACTTTTTTTTCTTAACATCCTGCCATCATGCTTATAGGAAACAACAAACAAACCCCTCAAACCGCCTTATATTGCCGTACCATGTGCTTAAGATTTACTTAAAGAAAATACAAAAGTCACTTTTTGAGATCTACTCACCTGTGCATTACGTTTTTGTTTTTGTTAGATTACATCCAAATGTCAAATATATTATTTAAATCATTACTTATTTTAGAACCGTACTGGCGAGAACCATCTCGACCCTTTAAAAAATTCGCTAGTGTGAAACGCTACTTGCAGTTACAACATGGCCGCCACCACCAGCAGTAGCGAAATTTGCAACATTCTAAGAGACACCAAACTAGACGCGGCCATCCGTTCATGCGCTGACACGAAAGAAACGTAACAAAACTAACCCTAATTTGAAACAGTAGCACAGTAGCCGCCATCTTAACTTAATTGTAATCGTTGTTTTGTTTTTTGACGTTTTCAGCGGCTTGGGTGCGCAAGATATCGTCTGCGGTAGGCCGATTGCGCCATGTCAACCCTGCGGTTCTTTTGGGCCCGTGCGCTGCCCTTGCATGCTGCGTTGCTGTCCGATTGGGGCCCGTTGCCATTGCATTGAGCAACCCCGCTGTGCGTCCTGTATACCAGGATGCTGCATGTGCTGCAATTCGCATGGAATACCCCGTCAACCTGTGGGTAGGCCGCGTTGTTGTACGAGAAGATTTATGTAGGCGCATGCGTACGAAATTGACATTTCAAAAATAGCAAATAATAAATACTGCTGCAAGTGACTGACGTTTGATTGTTTTTTTGTTTATTTGATCAGACATAACCTTTATTTCACACGATTCAGATCGACGCGCATGCCAGCCAAGTCGCACAAAATTAATAGTAAAAAATCTTTTTGATAACGAAAAAAAATTCAAAATGAATTGTCAGTGCAAAAACCATTGCATCACGCCACGCTCTTGCCAAGTGGAGCAGTGCATCCCGGGGGTGAATAGTTACCTTTATTCGCCAGAACAACAGTAAGTCAACGGATAAATTTCGAGATAAAAGGTAAACAAGTATAAATTGCTGAATTTTTGTGTATGTTTAGATGTACATGCCGGCCGTGTACTCAATGTAGTTGCACCTGCAATAATATGGAAAACATGTACTGCCCCATGGATTACTCAGTCTCGCAGCAGCCCCAGCCGCTTCCCCAAAATGCCTGCATGCCCAACATGTCCTGTTTGAACCGCAGCTCAATGCAATGCAATGCCGGCGGCTATAAACCGAACGGGGGCGTCTCATTAAACATGATCAACTCTCCGACACGATTCCAACCGGAATCAATGTGCCTTCCGGGACAGCCAATCTGCCCCGGCAAAGACAGGGGCATGCCTTGCATGCCGTGCATGCCAAATTCAGTCCCGAACTCCGGCGGTGGCCAAATGGATCCTTCCCAGGCATGCTGTCGGCCGCGCTGTATGAAATTTATGTAAACGTGAAAACAAAATGGCGGCCATCACAGCCACCACGATTGGCGACGCTAAAGTCCTGTGACCAATTTTGTTTTATGTGTGATTTGAAGTGAATTGACGTTTATCACCTCTGTCAGTGAGTTCGATTCACATCACATTCACTCTCATTCGATTCATGACGTAAAATTTTCTGTGCTTCACCTCGCATCGTTCATCGGCGCCATCTTGAAAATGGAGGACATCTTCAAGTGCACCAGCCACATGGTGGATAAGTTTGAGAACGTGATGGAAGCCATGACGAAGCTTGTGCATTACGAGTAAGTGTAACTGGTGGATATGTGTCATGTTGAATGAGTGTTTGCAGTAGTACACAAAGTACAAGTGACGTCGTCAGCGAGTTGAGTGGACGATATTGGTTGTGTGGCCCGCCAGACTTTCGCGACGCGGTTATGCCGACACCGTGCCCGCCGTGCCCGAGTGGAACTTGCAGCTGCGGTTTACCAAAGTGCTGCGAGCAGGCGCCGTATTATCAGACGCACATCTACGCGGAAATCTATCGGCAGGAACGAGCGCGACAGCGTTTTGACAATCCCTATTGCCATTAATATACCAACTGAATCGAAAGCTTATATAAAGACGTAGTGTGAAGGAAAATTGTGTAATTTTTTGTATGGTGCTAGATCAACGCCTGAACGACAAAATGGCGGCGCTAATGACACTTGCGTACGTCCGCTGGGCTGCGAAAGGTGGTGCCGCGATATAAGACCACCAAAAAAGAAGTATGTCGAGTTTTGCGAACAAAGAGGTCCCAATCTCATGAGTGTAGGTTATGTTGTTTGTTTGACTATTGATAGATTTTTACATTACTATGATTTACTATTTAAGTACCAGCAACAAGTGTACTGCGCAAGGATTCACTGTAATTCAAGATACGATAACTATTACAATGCGTACAACGTAGACTGGCATCCGGCGTGCGATTGGAGGAGCTGCTAGCACACAAAATGGCGACGACAATTCAAGTTCCACATAGAAAAAAATAAACTTTTTACGCAGTAAACAAAGTTTTCAATCGTTTATTCCGCACATATCGCATGAATCAACATCGATTAATTATTACCGCCACAATATATGCAACATTTGCAGTTGCATATGCCTGTAGCTTGAATGGGATTACAGCAGACGCGTCGTATCATTTGGCAATCGGTGTTGTAGCCATTGTAGAAATTGTGGTATCGATCGTAGTGGTCGTAAATATACTGCACTCGATATGGGCGTTCATTAGCGTGCGCGAATGGTCGCCTAAACAAATAAATTGTAGACTTTTTTTTTCTGTATTTTGTAATAATTTAAAATGGCATCTTACGTTTTCAGACATGGTTCCAACATTGCAGCGACAAATGGTTAATTGATATGGATTATATAACACTTATACAGCTATATTAACAACTCTAACAGATGCAATAAATACTGATAATTTTGATATTGATTTATTGACGCAGACGACAACAAAATCGGCGTGGTGACGGAGAATTTTGAAAATTATTGTGAGGTTTTGCTTGCATTGCGTTTGTTTTCGGTTTTGTAGAAAACTTTGTTTTGACACAAGCAACTTGATTTGGTAATTTAAATTTTATCCTCTTTATAACTTTGTAAATATGTGTAATATGTATTTACTAATATTTTCAAAGTCTTTTACAGCAGTGAAATTGTTTGAAGATAATAAATTCTTATTAGATAAGAAATAGTTTTAGAGGTATAACGATGAAGTTCAATTAGAGATTTATAGGGGGCGATGCAATCGCGTAAAGCCAAGCGACGATATACGAGTCATTCCGATCACGACGTACGTAACTGCAGCGCGAGCCGCAGCCAGAATGAAAATGGCGTCCCGTCGTATGGATCGGTCCGCTCTCTAGAAAAAATAAATCGTCCGATATCCATGAATATATGCACCATCCAATCTTATGCAATTGCTATCCGAACGCTGCAAGCCTTCTGAATACGCTGCAGACTTGTATTGTCTTGGTACGCGCAACGCGACGCGAGCGCGATGCGAATTTGAGCCAGCCCGGAGACACCGAGCCCCAAAACCGAGCGAAGATACTCGCGCCGCGTCAGTGTCCGGTGCAGTGGTGTGTGTAACGTCAAGCAGTGTGTGAGTGAGTGTGCTACTTCGCCTCCAGGAGCAGTCTGCGACGCCGACGCCAAAGGGTAAGTGCAAAATTCTCTTCACCTATTTCGATCGGCTCCGATGACCTCACCCAGAAAACGCCATTTAAGTTGTGCGTAACGAGTGTCAAATGTCAAAATACTTTCGCTAACCTGTCGGGTTCGGGGGCACAAAGTATTCGGCTGTTTTTGTTTTGCTAATAAGAACTCCAAGTGCGGGCGGCGGGATTGAATTGTAAGGTTGAGCCGATGGAGGAATCGCATCTCCGTCAGGACATACGACGCTGTGTGCCGCTGTGTCAAGTCATTCGGACATAACCTCAACTCCTTCTCGCGGCTGTGCGCGAAATAGTTTGTTTCAATCACGTTGACGCGGATAATAAGTTTTGTCGTCTGAGGCCTCGTTAAATGTGTTTGGTCTGATGCGGGTGGAATTTGGGCCAAATAGTGATGTGGATTACGAATGCACAAAGAGTGATCGGGTGATATCGTCGAGCCGATCGCCAACATTCTAGAAGTGTTAGGAATACAAAAATTCATGCAGGTAAACAGCGGACTGCTTTACATTACTATCATAACACTTGCTGTTGATTCCGTGAGATATTGCAATCTCTGGTTACTGCTTTGTTTCGTTGTGTTTATTTTTTCTTCGTTTGTTTGATTTTGTTTGGTTCGTGACTGAGGCATTCTTTGTTTTATTTTTATTTTATAGATCACTCAGTCACGAAACGTAAATCATAACTTGGTCACAATTATATCGCGCCCCCTGGACCACTCAACCATTCTGCTTAATGGAACTTATAATCTGTAAGAATGGTGTATGTTTGCAGTGAGCGCCCGGCGCAGCGTAATATGTGCTGGCGGTCGGCGCTGACTGAGCATGGAGAAAGTCAGCAGCAGGCACGGAGGCGGCGGCGGTGGTGGAACGCGCGACCGCAGGAGTAGAGAACGCCGCGAGAAACGTGGCGAACGCTCTTCCGGGAGCGGCGCGACGTCGGGTAGCAAACGACGCTCGCACCATCACGAGAACGGCGCCCCGCCAAAAGGCAGCGGTGGCGCAAAGCCACTGGTCGAATACTCGGACGTCAGCTCCGAGGACCTCTCCGGCCCCGAAGCGGGAGAGATACAAAGTGAGGCCGAGTTCTCCTTCAGTGACGAAGAAGAACTTGGAATGCGCCGTAACACCCACCATCGCTCCTCTTCGGGGCGGTACTCAGGTGGCGTAGGCGGCACGAGTATTAATGTCGCCGATGAGGAATATTACATGCGTCAACACGTGCACCGATCGCGACAGCGACAGATTGAGATTCACTCTCACAGTGGCGGAGGTGGATTGGTTGCCACCCCCAGTCCAATTCCCACCTCGCGAAGGGAACGCAAGCATTCAGTGTCTTCGCGATCCTCGCGTTCCAGCGACCTACGCCATCGGCGGAAACAAGCAGTCGAACCGACTTCCCCGGTTGAATTTGCACCCGTAATATTGTCTCCGCCACAAATCGACTATGACCTCGAGCGGAAAAAACGGAAAAAGAAGGAGAAAAAACACAAGGAGAAAAAGGCGAAGAAGAAGAAGAAAAAGAAAAGCAAACATAGATCAAGGTCCACGAGCTTGAGCTCCGAGAGCGGATCGGAATCTCCGCAAGCAGGCGAAGGAGAGACAACTAAAGTCTCACCAGGTGAAAAAGAACAACTTTCGGACTGGGAGGCTAATGCGGAAGCAACAGCTGCTGCGGAAAAGATAGCCGTGGATTGCTCGCCGGTATCTAACGAGTCTGATATACCAATGTCTCCTCCGCTCCCGGAGGAATCATCGCACCATCGCAGCAGAGAGGAGAAGGATAAGGAGAAAGAAAAAGAAAGGGAGCGGGAAAAGAAAGAAAACGCGCGACCCAGGACACCGCCTATGAACGACCATCATCGGCCAAGTCGCGACTCTCCGCACACTCCTCCAATTAGCGTTTCATCAAGGAACTCCAAAGGTGGTGAAGATTCGGCGGATAGAAGCCGTGACAAACACTATAGCCCCATTGTGCACTCGCCATATAGAAATCCTAGTCCGGAGAATTATTCAAGGTAAACAACAAGCAACAGTTTATTTGATTTAATTGTGTTCTATTGTGTGTTCATTACTTTGCAGATCACTCTCACCGGGCAGTAGGAGAAGAAGAGATGTAACACACTCTTCACACAAACACCCACACCAACACCAAAGCAGTCGCTACCGGAAAGAGCGCGAAAAGGTAAAGCGACGCCTCAGTCGGTCTCCTCATCGGCGCGGACGTTCTTCTCGGTCTGTTAGCCCCGTGTATACTCGCAAACCGGCCTATAGCCGTTCCCCTGTTCGTCCCAGTAAGCGCCTCCGGTCACGTAGTCCTAGAGAACGGGTGCGTGAGCGAACTCCACCTCGACGAAGCGGTGTAGTTCCTTCTTCCACCGCGTCTGAGAAACGTAGCCCCTCGCCGCATTCCATAAGCTCCTCAAAACTTAAGAACAAGATCACTGATACTAGCCTCTTTGCTGAGTTGGTAAAAGACAAGCATAAGCGCGCTTTAGAACTCAAAAAATTGGAACAGAAGCTGGAATCTAAACCGGATGAGGCAAATAATGTCTCTGTTAATCAAAATGCGAATAGTACTGGAACGCCAGGCAATTCTAGCACCAGTGCTAGTGCACCGGTGACCACGAATACCACACCAGTTGAGATTCTTGACGATGTGGTGGATTCTAGTAAGGTAGATAATGTAGAAACGGTGCCAATGGATATCGACAATATTCCCATTCCTGCTGACGAGAGCGGGTTTATCGAGGTGATGCCTCCACACAAGGTCAATGATATTTCCCTGCCGAATAATAATAATGGCACGCCGGCCGGTAACGGCTTTGAGGCTCCACCATTGCCGCCTTCAGCACCACCGCAACCTTTCAGAATGGTGATACATACCAAGGAGTTGTCTGAATTGGGGAAGGCTCCTAAAAAGACGAAGAGTATTACCAAAATGCCATTGCCGCCAGGTATGAAGCATCAGGATCTGGAAGTGATTGAATCGCCACCGAGTCGAACTCCAAGTCCACCGGTGAAACAGAAAACACCGCCGAAAAAGGGGATTATGAATTTACCAATGCCACCAGGTAAATACTTTAATCTATTCTATTTTGTGTGTTGATATTAACCGTCGTTGTAGTGGTTTCAGCGGGAGCGGAAGATCTCAGTGGTGATGACGACGGTTCCACACCACCTCGAGACGGTAGAGACCGACGTGCAGCCCGGCCCAAACTAAAACGACCGAAGATTTTAAAGAGGCGTGGATCGCGCTCACTACAAGCGATTACACGGCCCGACTGGGGCGAGCGTTGTGTTGACGTGTTCGAGATGATCAACCAGATTGGCGAGGGCACGTATGGTCAGGTTTACAAAGCGCGCGACGTGCAGGCTGATATTCTGGTTGCGCTGAAGAAGGTGAGGCTTGAAAACGAGAAAGATGGCTTCCCCATCACGGCTGTGCGCGAGATCAAGATTATCAGCCAACTTAACCATAAGAATATTGTCAACCTGCGCGAGATAGTCACCGACAAACAAAATGCGGTTGATTTTAGAAGGGACAAAGGTTCGTTTTATCTTGTCTTCGAATACATGGACCACGATCTGATGGGCTTGTTGGAGTCTGGTATGGTCGACTTTAACGAACTGAACAACGCGTGCATTATGCGGCAGCTTTTGGACGGGCTAAATTATTGCCACAAGAAGAATTTTCTTCATCGCGATATTAAGTGCAGTAATATTCTCATGAACAACAAGTAAGTTTACATTAATTTTACTTTCACTCTTGATATTTACATTCAATATATTTGCAGGGGTGAAGTAAAACTGGCAGATTTTGGGTTGGCTCGTTTGTACAACGCGGAAGATCGTCAGCGACCTTACACGAATAAAGTTATCACTTTATGGTACCGCCCACCGGAACTTCTTTTGGGTGAGGAGCGTTACGGACCCTCGATTGACGTCTGGTCATGCGGATGCATCCTAGGAGAATTATTCTCGAAGAAACCGCTGTTTCAGGTGCGGAACTTTACAATGTCAACCGAACAGGGGTTAATTTATATTTTATTTAGGCAAATACTGAAATGTTGCTGCTGGAAACAATCTCGCGACTGTGTGGCACACCTACGCCGGCAGTGTGGCCTACCGTGATAAAACTACCATTGTTTCACATGATAAAACCGAAGAAACTGCATCGGCGTCGACTGCGGGAAGAATTTATGATGATGCCTTCGTCGGCCCTGGATCTACTTGATCGTATGCTTGAGCTGGACCCCGATAAACGTATCACCGCTGAAGATGCGTTAAAATCGGACTGGTTGAAGAATATTAATCCGGAAAGGTAAATTAATACAATTTCTAATAAGACTGAAATTAACTGTATTTTTTGTTAAATAGGATTTCTGCACCTGAATTACCAACTTGGCAGGATTGTCACGAATTGTGGAGCAAGAAACGGAAGAAGCAGATGCGGGATCAGGAAGCGATGGCTAACCAGCAGCCTAATCAGCATGGCAAACCTGCACTCCTGCCCAAGCCGTCATTCCCTAAACTAGATGAAAATAATGAATTTGGAGGGTGAGTAAACAACTTATCTTATTACTAGCTGACAAGGAATTATTATTTTTCAATTTATTTTTATTTGTTTATTTGTCGTTTTTTTGTTTCTTTTTTAAGACGATGAAACCCATCCGTGTGTAGTGTACTAAGCTATCGGACGATCGATTAACGTGATCACAAATTGTGTCGCGTATGTAATTAAATACGAAATTAGTGAGAAAATGCGCGCCGCATTAATGCGGGGACAATCGAATGCGAACGCAGTGCAAGTGCGCGTCTAACATAACCTAACTTACTACAAACAATTTTAATTTTATTTAGACCTTTGATTTATTTCAATGCGCGAGTGCGAATGGACCTTTAGAATGAAGCTGATCATTTTGTATAAATATTATAACAACAAAAATAATCATCAATTGCATTATAAGAATGATATACACGAAATGAATATTTAATATGATTGTAGCATGAATCTTCTACTCTTATTCCTATTTGTTATGAATAATCTGAATTATTCTATAAAGTTATAAACTGGAATTCAGAATGTTGTCAACATTGATCACACTCAAGTCATTCTTACCTACTAAGTTTTCATTTTGTCACAAATAATTATGAACTTTCTTGAAGCTGCCCGCCCTCCCGTGGTATAATTGTCCAAAGTTCACAAATTGATTATAGTGCATTTGTTTTAGTTATTTGCCGCTGTATCACAGTCGTAGGTTAACAAAGTCGATTTGTTTGATTTATTAATAATTGAAAAGTGTATATACTGATGTTTTATTATAATTTTTTTTTTGAAAACTTGTAAATAAAACGGGAATCATTATTTACATTTTGTAAAAATCTCAGAACAAGCGAATGTTTTTTCTATTGTATTGGATGTATTTGTTGTTGTGCTGCTTTTGGAAATGTTGGGCATTGTTGCAAATCAAAGTTCATCAAAAAGTCTGAAAATGGAGGCGTACGACACGGCCGTGTTGCGATATGCTTTGGCGACGGCCGCGTGTAAATTGAAGCCGGGGTTGTTGGGCATTGCGCCGAACATTCCGGCTCCAAGGGGCGGAAGCATCCCCGTCGTCGCAGAAGAGTCACTTACGCCACCGGCGCCGCGTCAAGCGGACAACGCCGACGGGAACAAACCTAAACAGGATGCGCTTGTGAGGATGCTCGCCAGTTTGGAGCAGTCTTTCTTGAATAGGATTCCAGTACAACTGCCTCAGATGTTGGAGATGTGCGCCTTAAAACAAGTAATACTACTTCGTATAAAATCATTTTGTACTGTTCCTTTTACAATCTCAATGTATAATCTTATGTAAAATCGAATATCTTACTTTTCGTTATTGTTTCAGTTGGATGCCCAGAGTATAGTTATCCTTGATGGACTTCAAAGTGAGCTTCGGCAGATATGCAAGGCAAACCCAGGAAAACCGTATTTCCTCGTCCTTAGTGATAGTACGTTTCATATTTATTTTGCACTAATTAACAGATTAACTCAGAATTGCATTTATCATTATATTTGAGATTATCAGTTAAATCAATGTTTTCTAATTGTTTCAGGTGATGACACTCAAATATCGGGCTTATTAAAAAAGGACCAAGTGATTAAGCTGTTATCAGAGCTGTACAACAAGTTCAATATGGTGGACACGGCAAACTTCTTGCGTTCTTATCTCGTGTCTTCGTAGAAAATAGTATTTAATGTATGCATAAGTTATTTAATTAATGAAAAGATGTCCGGTCACTTTACAAAGCATCGGATGGTGATTATTTGTATGAAATGTGAAATACGGGACACTAAATTATGAGGGTTATTGTAAATAAGTATTCAAGAATTTTGCAGTTGGGGCGGGATTTAAGTGAAAATGAAGAAGTTAGGCATTCATTTATATCTGGTTTATTTCAAGTATTAACTTGTATCTTTTTGTACTAAAAATTAATAAATGAATGATGAATATAAAGGAAAATAATGAATAAATTACTTTTATTGGATGTTACTTATTTTTTCTAATTCCACTCTATTTCCGTTGAGGTTTTTGAATTTCAAATCTTCGAAATTCGCTCGTATCCTACTGGTAAATATTATAAATTATAAATGCCGTTTCGAATCGACAGGAGCGGCAGCAGCCTGCTTTACACACAAGCAATTCATATGGTCTTTTGCTGCACAGTACGCAAATGCGCAGGCGTAAGCTCCGTCCCTGTGTTATCAAGTATATACCACTTTTTGTGTCTAAAAACGTGGAAAACTGGCGCTTTAAAGGTTAAAGTAGAAAATAATACATTATTATGAATTTAATTTTCCGTTGTCTTTTTTCCTTTCTGACGCTATAACGCACCAACCGATTTCCACGGTTTTGCATTCGTCGGAAAGGTCTTGGGCACAGAGGGGTTTATAGCAAAGAAAATTGAGGAAAAATTTCAACAGAAAAGCGGGAAAATTTTATTTTAAATAAAGGGCTATATCTGATAAATAGCATGGATTGTTTCATTTTGTGTTTTGTGCAAAGAGTTTAATTATCTATGATCACTAAGTATTGCATGTGACACAATTCGGGGTGTTTTAGTGGGTCCCACTAAGTTCGTGGAAGCGCCCTATCACCGGGGTGACGGTGCTGTTCAGGAGAATTTTTTGCACCGACTATAAAGTAGGGAGGAAAAAAACTGCCACAATCCAAATCTTTTTAAACGGAACGAAGTCTGTTGGGTCCGCTAGCTATAAAACGTTCATAGTTTTCAGTTTACAATGATGGCAAATAAATACCTAAAATTTAGCAGAGGCGCCTGACATTTTAATCGGTGATTATGAAAATTTCCAAAAAGTAATAATACAATTGTGATGGTATTCCAACTCGCAGTTTCTTAAATATTCTATAATAAAAAGTCAAATTTTCAACTTTTATTTCTTGCTTAAGAAATGTTAGCGACATCGAATAATCTAGTTTTTCGCACTTAATGTGAAAATTAAGGGAGTTAAAGAAAAACGATTTTCACATTTGAATGAAGGATATAATTTATAACAGTTAGCACTTTAATATTTTCAATTACAGGCAGTTATGTAATAAATGAATGGTCAATAACTCTGAAACTAATTAGGTTATCGAAACCAAACTAATGCACTAATGGATTTCTCACATCATTCTACATCAACTTAAAAAGTTTCGTGAAAATCGGAGCGGTGGATCAATTTGATCCGTTTCGATTTTCACGGGTCATTTGGGAAATATTGGTGTTATCGGAAAACTGACTGGATATCTTTCATCGCATTACAATTCTCTATCGATTGACGTTTTTCATTTTTCTCTAGCTAGAAATTTATTTTTTGATGCAAAAAGTAGTCAAGTGTAACCACTTAACACTTTTCAAGGAGTTTATGTCAACTTCACAAAATCATAAAACTTAAACTGCCATTTTATAGATCCTTATCATGGCATGAAGAAAGTGCAATAAGTTCCTTTCTATCTTTATTACTCTCCGTGAAAATCGCGTCGGAAAATTGTTATTCTCTCTTTCAAAAGTAAAAATTTTAAAATCTTATTATATGTAGAATTGGTCTCTGGACGTAATGTCGTTTTCCGTTTTTAAATATCTTTATTAATTTCTGAGATAATCGGTAATTAATTGTTGTTGGAAATACACGTTACACTTAAATGCACCCTCAGGGTAAACCATAAGAACTAATAAGTAAAAAGATATATTTCTATGATAACTAAGATGGTATTATTAGTATTAAGAATTAATTAGATTTACAAAATTAAATGTCAGGCGCCTCCATCATATATTGGTAATAATTTAAGTTTTTTTTATAAACTAAATTAATTCATTTTTTATTACGGAATATGAAAGAGGATAATAATTTGACTAAAATATTTAAGGACATTATTTTAATGAGACGATTACTTTAAAAGATATAAGCATAAAACTATTGAATACAAATGTGCCAAAAGAGCCTTAATTAATGGTTGTAGAACAAAAGTTTATTAAAATAAATTATTTATAATGTTCTGTTTTATTATAATCAGAAAAAATATTCAAAATTCCAAAATTTAATTTATAGCATACAAACCATTAAACCGTGAAAATATTTCGTCATAAAAAGGCAAAACTTTTTCGTTTTTTTATGTAGAATTAAAATGTTCGATCCTGTCTTTCAACAGAAAATAATAAAAAAAAAGATCGACCCTGTCTTACGACCGAAAATAATTTTAAAAAAAGTTCGAGTATTTCGACACAAAATAATTTTTTTTAAATTCGACCCTGTTCTTCAGCCAAAAACTAAAATTGGAATACAACAATGAGGAAGAAGGTCGTGTACATAATGTAATTAAATGATTCTCTACCCAATGATATTATTAGTTTTTTGGAAACTTTCATACTCACTTGTAATAGAGCAACCAAAATTTCAAATTGAAGCTGAAAAGAAAAACAAGCGGGGTAAGGTAAAATCAGACACAGTATATCGATATTATATTGCTACCATTTTTATTGAAATATAAATGAAATTTATATAAAATATATTATAGTAACAACATAATTGCAGAGAAAAAATTGGATGGTAATGTTCACACCTCGAAAGCCACCATCGCGTAATTTCAAATTCCTCCTGCTGCATGATTAGCTTTGCTTTCGACCTCTCTACGTCATATCATCACATTCTCACCCGCCTCCACAATACAAATCGATCGTAATAGCATCGATTACGATCAACCCTAAATCAACACGCCATCGACATTCGTTCGATTGTTTTCAGTTTACAATTCTCAGTTATCCATTTGTTTTTGGTAATATATCTTTATTATTGAACATTTCATCTTCATTGTAATTTTTCTTTTTTCATATATAAAAATCAGGTCTTTATTTTCGTACGAAATAAAGCACACTTGGTACAATCAATTCAATCAATCCGCTTCTATCATCTTCATATCATTATCATCATTGCCTTCTGCATCGAGTTGATAGATTAGGTTACAAACAAAAATGTCAAATAAAACAGATATTCCGATTCGACTGCAAAGCGCAAGAATAGCGCCTCATCAGCGAATAAACAAAAAAAAAACATAATAATAATTAAGATGGCACTCACAGCTCTGGCGCTATGATATTGATTTTTACAATGTCATCATGATGCATGATCCTGCGATTCGTTCATTCACTCGTATGAATCATGAATGAAAAATGAATATTCAACAACAGAGTCTGTGTTTGTACTGCTTAGGTTACAGTTTTACAGTAGTAAATGCTATCACACGCAATCACACGTTCACAATTTGCTCCTTTCATTCATTCAATCATTTAAATTTTTAGTGTTTTTGCCTTTTTCTATTTTTCAGTAATCATCTCTTTTTTGGAAACTTTCTTATTCGTTTTGTTGCTTTTTTTTGTAACTCATCGATTCATCGATGTTATATATAAATCAAGAACGGGGACACAGCGCACAAACTCCTTCTCACAATCATCGATTCCGCCATCATTATCAATCATTGATCATCATCACTGTTATTAATCACATCGCCGCGAACCGTTTATGATCCTCATTCGATCGGTTCGCTTGTCGGGTTAACACAGCTCTCAATTAACATGTTCGTTTCCACATGGAAACCCGTGATACACACCTTCCTCTCACCACCTGCTTCGACTTAACACATCACTACCTGCTCCTACAGCTCTAGTATAACATTTTTACATATTACTCGTTCTCGTCCCCCTCCTATGCACCCTTTGAGCATTACAAAATCTTAAAAAAATATCCAAACGTATATAGGACTCTTGATGGACTGTCAGTTCGCGGCCGGCGCGCGGCCAAATATTTTACAATATCTTCAACTAAAGCAGGTACGATCTATCCTAGCTCTTAGTAATAGTTTTTTGTTTTTTATCACATTTGTAGACTCTGCTACACATCATACGAAAGTATTAAAATACAAGCGATCTCTCTAGGCCTTCGACGCCTTCCTCAACATCATCTTCAAAGACGCACGCGTGGATTCGCAACAATTCGCGCATGCATGAAAACAAACGCAGCCTGTCTGTGCTTACATGGTATGGACAAACGACGGGCAGCCATTTTGCGTTCACATGGTATGGCATGGTATGGTTTATGGTTTGAATCGTTCGGAAGCAACACAAGCAAGAATCAAAAATGTACGATTGCCCATGATTTGTGACTTCACGATTCCTGATTGCATGTTTGGCACTGACACTTGCGTCCAATAACATTATTTTTTGGAAGGATCATATTTGTTGCAACGCACCAGCACTTGAAACTTGTTTGCGTTTTGTGATTGTGACACGAATGGGTTGCAAATCCGCGCGTCGTATCAACACTTAATAGTAATAATAAGAGAAAAAAAGTACAAAAAGTCAGAAATGAATCGTTCCCCAACGTGCACTGGGAATCGGCCGACGAAATCGCAAATTCCGCAGCGTCGTGCTTTTTTTCTGCCGTGCTCCGGGCGCGCGCACAACGCCGCAGAGCCTGGGTAACTGAAATTTCAAATTCTATCGTACGCAAAAAATAGTCGGAAACCGTTCGTTTAGTAATAGTAATCTTCTTTAATGTGGTTTTCGGCTGTGAGGTAAAGAAGAGTAGGTCGGCGGAGGTGGCGCGGCAACGGCGACTCGATCAACCGCTCGGGCTGGGAATCGCCGGCGGCGAGGCAAGCGGAATCAACGACTTGCACTTGAGGCGTCGCTGCATGAGAAGACTCTCTGACGGCGGACTGAGGCCGTGCGGCGGTGCGCGGTACAGATTCGGCTTCTCGAGGTAGTCCAGTTGCATGCTGAAGTGCTGATGGTAAACGCGGTGCGCGTTGTTGGCACTCTCGGCAAACTGCGATAGTTCGCGCGCCGAGTCGTTGCGCTTGATGACGGCGGGCGTTGGAAGCGCCTGATCATCACTGGCGTACCGCAACCAGGGATGCCGCAAGACATCAGCAGCACTTAGCCGGGCTCGCGCCTTCTTTACTAACAGCGAGCGGATGAGCTGCTTAGCATCGTCGGAGATATGACCCCACTCAGCCTCGGGGAACTCGTATTCGCCCTCCTGGATGCTCTGGAAGAGGAGGTGTTGACAAGCGGAGCAGTTGTCACCACGCTCCCAGCCACAATCGCCCCCACACTTGCCATAAAACGGTGGGTAACCACAGAGCAGGATGTACATGATCACACCCAGCGACCAAAGATCGCATCGCTTGTCATACGCAACAGCGTCATTGTCACCGATAAACGCCTCGACCACTTCGGGCGCCATAAACTCAGCGCTGCCGACGGGTGTGAGCAATTGCGGCGTCGCCAGTGGGCTGGAGACGGACGCCTGGAAGCGGATGCCGGAACCAAGATCAAGGTCGCAGATCTTCACCGGGAAAAGATCTTCCGCGTCCACGCAGAGGATGTTCTCAGGTTTGAGATCGCGATGCGCAATGCCTTTCGCGTGCATGAAACTCAACGCAGACGCAACCTCGCGTACAATCTCCGCCGCTGCCGCCTCGCTGAAATACTTGTGCTCTTGGATGCGTCGTAGCAGCTGTCCGCCATTGATCTACGACAATCATCACAACAAATCAGCACATTGACCCACAGTTTACTGAAAAAGTCAAACCACTCACTTTCTCGAAAACCAAATAAAACTTTTCGTCGTCCTCGAAGAACTCCACGAGTTGAATGATGTTGGGGTGCCCTTGGCAATGGTGGAAAGTCTCCACCTCACGGAAAACCCGCGCTCGTGCATGCCCCGGGACCTTCTCGATCATCTTGACGGCAAACTCCTGATCGGTGAAGATGTTCACGCACGTCTGAACGCTGGCGTATGCTCCTTCGCCCAACACCTCACCGGTCAATTTGTACAAATCTAGAAAGAATTTTTAAAATGTTACACGTGATAATCATTTGAGTAACAGAAAAATGAACATGTTTTCAATTTCAGAGTAAATATTATTCATTTTGACTCATATTATTTAATTGTAGTGCATGATTCTGTACTTTATGAAGCTGATTCAGCCATTTCGATGCTGGGGTCATGATAAATTCTTGCAAATTCAGCTGATTCTCCGCGAAAATCTAGCAAATATTTACCAACCAACATGGCACAGACACGTTTCGCATATATTATGTTATAATGTAACACGCGGATAGCGTTACGGTTTTTACACTTCGCGGTGTTTACTATAAAGTTACGTCGCGCCACGGCGACAGACTTTATTGCAAAATATTAACGCCGACGATGAGATAACAACACACACCGAAAATAACACCGACTTTAATCTTGTCTCATCAAAAAACAAACCACTAACCAAATGGCACTATTGAATTTCATTAAAACTTTCAAACAAGTTTAATATGAACCAAACTAATAAAAATCAAACAAAGTTGTGGTTTTTATCAAGCTTACCTTGAAAACAAGATGATACCAGAGAGGAGCCGGTGCGCTTCTTCTTGCGACGGCGACGCTTCGCCTCCTCTTTGCGACGGGCCAGCTCACGTGCCCGGCTGTCGGCGTCCATCTGATCGCCGCTGTCGCCGCCGCTCCCTTCGCCACCGTCATGATGATGGCCGCTATCGCCACTCGATACTGCAACAGAAAACAATATGTCGACATGAGCAACAGAAATAAAATACAACAGGAAATAAACGAATCAACACACATTTCAATGCACACACCGCACATGTTGGGCGTGAATGCAGTGAATGACATAAAAACATAATCAAAGTACCGTTACATATAAAAAGAGAAACTACCGATGACACCGGCTGATCGTGATGCCCGAATTGTTATAATAAACAATATGCCTGCGCCGCCGATCGGCGATGACTCAGCCGGCATGCACGAAAACAAATCACAAATTTAAAAAAAAAACACAATGGGCAATATGCACGCTACACGATTGCGCGATTATTAATAGCGCGCCGCACTGCATGCGGCCATTCTTAAAATTGCCGGTGCTCTTCTTACTCAACGACTTCGATTGTCCATTGTGGTTAAAAACGCGTGTAAGTAGCGTTTTTATCGCTCCTAAATTTGCCCGACCACACTAACGAGACAAGTACACGAGGCGCCATCTTGTACATACTAGCACTGAAAAAACAATCATGCGCTCGAAACAAATATGGCGTCGTCACTAGGAAAGTGGACATGAATGCGGAAACTATTAACCGAACAAGCCGTTTCGGCTCATCGACATGCAAAACACACAAAAATACACAAGGTCGCGATGACATTTTAATAACAAGTGTGTTAAACTCGCAGTGACAAAAATATCCACGAAAACGACGAAAATAATCCGAAAAACACGCAGAAGTGCGCACGCGCAAGATAAACATCAGAAAACTCGTGCCGTTTTATGTTGAAGTTTAAACATAAAATCTTGCGAATCGGAAGCGGAAATGCATAAAAGTAGGTACTGCGATGTCGACGAATATGGCGGCGTGCGACAAGATGTACCCTTCAAGGTGAGAAATGAAACAAATACGCAAGTTTTGTATCTGCAATTCTACACGACTGCACTGCCAACACGATAAAAAGCAGCGTTTAGGTTCGGGTTTTAACTTAAGCACGTCTCAAGGTGCCGCATCTGAATTCACAAAACGTGCCCTTCAATGCAAATGCGGTGAAAGAAGCAAACGTAAATGTAAATGCAAATTTAAGTAAAATATACACCTCAGCGAACACAATATAAGACTTTGAATATATATATGTAATTGAAATTTACTCAAGTCGAACAAAACACAATCAACAATTAATCCAGTAAAGTAAATATAGCGACACACGAAGGTGATTGTTATGTTTTACTGCAATCTTAATCGAGCTCAATATTAGTTCGACTTTGCGATGCGGGTTGCTTATCGTCGCCTTTGTATTCGTCGCTTTGATAAGGAGCGTATAATTAAAAAGACCTTGGAGGCAATTATAGTCAATTGTCGCACTCGCCAACATTCGCGAATAATCATGGCATTCATAAGATACCCACCCACATGAAATCAGAGGCCACTATTTACAGAATAAAAATTGATCTTGATTTAAATTTTTAACAAGCACTCCTCACATTGCGCATATTAAATTTCGAATTTTGAATTAAATTGAATCATATACAAAATGAAAGTTTCGAGTTTTACTTCATGTGTTAAGCGCCTTAATTCGCAAGTTTAACACACATTATTCCAAACTTCGCGACCATTTAACTGTTTTCTTCGCATAGTGTTAGTTATTCGATGGCGGATCGACTGATCGCGAATCAAACACGATCCAAGCGGCGAAGAGTTTCGCCAAGCCGCTAATGGCGAACGCAAACGTATGTGTAAACGTTCGCGCACGCTCACGCCGCAAAGCTTTCACCTGATTCCATACCAAACAACTACTACAAACAAAAATCAACACATAGAATGCACACTCAAAAACATGCGCGTGTATTGATTCGTGAGTTGTGTGTGTGCGCGGCTCGATCATGCGATCATCGCAAATTTTATTATTCATACGAGCCAACCGTATGAGTGAGTGTATTGAATGTGTCTATGCGTAAAGCTTAAAACGTTAAAACCTTCTCGCATCGATTGGCGACGTGGCGCGTGGATAGAAACTTTAATAAGATTTAATTAACGCCGCACGTTTCGTTCGCAAAGCGCATAGAATCGGCGTCGATCATGCGTGACTATAAATCAGGGGTGTGCAAACAATTTTAATTAGATAAGCAACAATTTATTGATAGGCATAGAGCAGCGCGCGCTCGGAGAAATGTTTTTAATAATGGCGAATGTGAGTTTGGTCACCCCTGGCGTGAACGCACAACATGCGTTGCCCATAAAAGGAAGACACAAATCACAGGCGATGAAAGGTGTAATCAAATTTACATAAAAACACGCATCTTTCAAAAACAAGTAAAAAAGCACCGTAAGTATACATATTTATTAACGCAATAAAAATGCGTAATGATAATTGAATCTAAATATAAATTAATTGCAAATAATATTACTGTTAGAGATTAATATGATAAAATCAATATTTTGAGTTGCGGTATAAAGTAGCGATCGGCAATTTGGTGGGTTCCAATTTAATTTTGAATAAATACAATATTTACCAACTTCTGCAATCGCAAATTAATAATCTAAAGGATTAACTGAATTTTAATATGTGCAAATGCAAATAAACACCTAATAATGAATTCATATGCCGTTTAATATATTCAAGACCTACAAAAATTCAGTTTCCAAATATTGTGTTGTTTTATTATGAATTTTTATGATAAAATTCTAGTTATTTATCTAAACACAAGAAATACATCGTAAGATTACGGCAGTTTTGCGTCAGAAATTTAAATATATTTCAAATTTGAGTCAAAAATACATCACAAGCGGTGTTTCACCAACTAATTAGCTTCTTATTTGAAATAAAACACCTATAACGTTTATAAAATATGCAAAAACTGCTGCGGTTCCAGACAGCGAGTGGTATAACCAAATAAAAAAATAAAAATATGGCCTCATTGTACACATACATAAAATCAAATATCACTCGAGTGTTGGTTCGTATGCGAAATGAAACACTCATATATAATCTGTGAATTGACGTCACCGCCATGCGTTATTCGTTTGTTTTCCTTATTATCTCGCCTCGAGTATGTGTATATTGGGCACTTTGTTTTATTTTTGGAAAGTAGCCGAAAAGTGGCCCAAGTCATCAGTTTGATGTTCGTTTGGAAGCATCAATAACGCAAAACAAATCAAAAACGCGCTTAATTTGTTGTTGTTATGGCCAAAAAATTGCATTTTCATGCACAATTTAATTCTGTACAGCGAGTAAATACCACGTATTGGGGCAGAGTTATTTAAGTAGCTTAACTTAAGCGACTTGACTTAACTGCTTAACTTCTTTGTTCTTTTTTAAGTATAGTAAACCCTTACGTAAAGTATACTTAAATAAAAACGAGTGGTTTGCTTTGTCCATCGTTTTTAGGTGCAGGTTGTGTGCACCTTTAACCCACTTTTCACCGTATTAACCAGCATTTAATTTCATTTTCTCCTTAGAAGAAGGCAGTGTAAAAATAAATTGGAAAAACTTCCAGACAACCAGCTGAAGGCTTTAAAAAAACACCTGCGCCCTAAATAAAGATGGCGGCACAAAAATTACCACTGACTTTTTTATGTGTTGTGGGACGCAATATGAGAATACAAAACACATGTGATTGTGATGATGAATTCAGATGAGTCTCGAGTGTAACATCTGCACATCATAACGATGAAATATTGCACTCATACACAATTCAAATAAATAACTATATATAATGTATTCAAAGCGCACTGAGATAATGATAAAAACATTTACTAAATGCACGTAAAGCACAAAAAATATCTGAACACATTGTATTATTCATCTTATATGTCAAGTTCATGATGTACAAGATATTCTCCATGTTACACTTACTTTTTTTTTATACGTCAAACGCTTCATTTCTAGAGCATGGAAATATTTTTCTTTATTAAAAAACTTGGTTATTCTTATCGCTTGCTGCTCTTAAACAAATTTTCTGCCTTTCTTATTCTCGTCGCTGAGTTGTCTACTTGCCTACTGAGTCAATGCGTTTTTCATTCGTTTTCATTTTTTTAGCGACACGAATCGTCGAATGGAAAGTGGTGAGAAACAAACGTTACTGGCGGAAAAAAAAAATCAGAAACTCAACTTCTTCGACTTCCACTTTAAACTATCGTGCTTGTGGGAGTGTATGTGTAATGTGTGCGGAGTGTAACTGCCGACTACTGGTCATACGCAATTTCATTTCGAGTTGCATTTCCCTAGTCGCTTAAAATTGCATTATAGCAATTATCTGCATGCACTTTTTAGTGGTGTGCGAATCGTAACTTAATTATAGACAAAAAATATAGCTTTTTGAAAGTGAAAAGTCCACATTAAAAAAAAAAACATAATTAGCTAGTATATTCGCGTTGTATTTACTTGAAGCGAAAACAATTCAAATTTAATTATTTCCCGAGAATAAAATATCATTGCGTTGAGTAAATGTGTACTATGTCTAAAATAATTTGTTTTGATGGCTCTATCATACCACCAGCGTGTCGTAAATAATAAACCGTAGTGACACTGTAATTGCAGCGCAAATGCAAGACATGAATAAGATATTAAACTGCGGTGAATGCAATCGTTGTTAATTATAGTAATTAAGTGAAATGATTTAAAATAATATGGCAAAAACATTTATCACATTTCAGCGCTGACTTTTACTAAATATTTAACCAAACATCTGTGCATGCTTCTTAATACTCTCATAAGAAAATACCTATAAATTTTCCTAGCATTCCCAGTTAAATATAAACAGTTATAAGTTATAGATTTATGATAATGAATAATGTATGTTGATAAAAGATAAATTCAACATATTCATACCGTTGAAATAATAAAACAAACATTTGCATCTCCTCATCTATGCCACCCATCTAAACAGCAGATCGAGAACGTCGATTAAATTAACAACAACATCAAACGCGCAACATCGTTAGCAATCAGCGATCAACAATCGCTTTTCTTCATTATTGCTCTTCGCGTCGCATTCGTAAGTGCTCCCAGAG